GTGAGGTTCAGTATGCTTTCTAGTGCAGGAGCCTAGGGGGTTAAGGAAATCTTTGATTTGATTCAAATTGACTGGCTGAAGAACTTGGTACAGTTGTAGCCTCCAATTTATCGAAAACGATTCATAAAGGGGAAGAACTATCCTATTTTTTGGTTTAAAGTCATTTTGTTGACTTAAAAATATTTGTGTAATAACAGTGACACAAAACTGCAATTACCCAGAATTTGTCCGTTTTACTGAGGAGACTAGCAATTTCGTTACCTGAATGCCAAATATATTGTGCACCTCAAAGTCGTTGAGATTTTTTTCAGATCATAATTTTCACAAAACGCTTCAACTGTCTGTTTTACTTTTTTACTCTACAGACAAGTGCTACCGTTGCAGCTTAGTATTTAGAAGTGAAACCTTTCCAACAAACACAGACAGGTTTCTCTGATTGGCTACGAATTAGTATGGAGCATAGTGTACTTCAGTCACTCTGTCACTTTTAAAATCCAAATATCATGACAGTATTTTACTTTGTAAGATAACATTTTTTTTCTTCATTGTCGGATTGTAGTAAACCTGGATATTTTCCAAAAAGAAGCCGTGTATTAACTCTTCTGCTGCACATGCCAGCTTAAAAATGAATTTTTATAATTTATCATGATGCAAATCAGTCCCACAAGGTGTAAGTCCTTTAATTCATATCTGAATGGGCTCTCCTTTTTCCCACAAACTTTAAAATTAAAAAAACCAGTGCCTGTTTTCATTTAGCAACCTTCAGATAAAGACACTCCAGGAAATCTCCCTAAAATGTCAGGTGGTTGTAAGAAATACAGGGAATAGGAAAGAAAAAAGAAGTTTTCTGGTTCAGAAATGGAGAGTCAGTGTTTCTGTTCCATTTTCCGTGCCTTCTATCTGCTTAGACAGACAGACAGACGGACGGACGGACGGACGGACGGACGGACGGACGGACGGACGAGGTTTTAACCAGGGTCATGTACGCATATGGTGCTTGCACAAAGACTGTACATTCAAACAGGAATTGGTCACACTGGCTCAGCACTTCCCACACCATTTGTGCTTATCAGTTAGTTTTCATTTTTTATTGCTAAACTGAGTGCTTATTTTTCAAATGATAGGTGGGGGCCTTGCTGGAATGTCTGCAGCTTTGGACCTGGCAGAGCGCGGGTACCAGGTGACGTTGCATGAAGCGGATAGTGCCTTAGGTGGGGTCTACCTACAATCCAAGCCAGTACAGAAACTTGGTCAGACGTTCATCGTTGACAGAGGAATGCAAGGTTAATGTCTTCAATTTCCTTGTTTTCAAATCCTTTGTAGTAGATCGTTTAGCATTTTGCTTGATGGATGACCTCCTTTTAACCACAACAGTAACAGCAAAAGTGTTGGAGGAGCCTTCCCAGCAGCTTCCACTGTTAGGGGAAGAAAAAAAAAATCATGTTTCTCATCCCCGCCCTCTTCCTTTTTGGAGGCTGCCTGGATTTTTTCTAATTTTTTATTTTTGAAAAAAATAAAAGTAAAATAACACAGAAAAAGTCCACAAATTCATCAGAAAATAAATTCTTGCGAAATAAGTGAGTCAAAGTTTTCAGGATAGACTCTGGCAGTCACTATGGACACCACATAAATCGAGGCGCCATCGCAAAACACGTCTTTGTGAGAGTCTAGAGCAGGGCAAATTCACCGAAATCTGTCTGCAGATACTGTGACTGGTGTGGGACTCAAGTGCTTTTCAAGACAAATGGGTTAGGCTTGGTTTTCGGTTCCAGTCAGACCCTAGCATGCAGTTTGGAATGCTGTATCAAACGGCTGGAATCAGCAAAGCTGACGACTAAGCCTAATTCACTCGTTTCGAAAATGCCCTGAGCTCAGGGCCGAGCACGTGTTTAAAGAATTCACCCACGCGGCCGTAATCTGGTTCCCAATCCCATTTTCATTGATGCATTTGGACTTCGAAAATTGCAGGGGAGGGGGCGGGAAACAGTCTAGCATGGCCAATGTTTTCTGTCACTCATGCTCATCATAAGCCTGAATCTTGTTTTGTTTGGTTTCATCAAAGCGCAAGTCAACAAACTTTTGTCAAACAATGATGGATACATTGTATGTCACAAGTCCAAAAGGTAAAGTCTTTGTTGTAGAAGAAATATAGACTCGCAAAAGTAAACTGACAAAATATAAAGAAAAAAAAATGCCTCAAATATTTTTAATCGATCTTCATATGTTTATGGAAAAACACAAACACATTTTTATTTATAGCTTAGTGTGTACTCTTGTAGGTTTTGAGAGTTGACATTTTGTGCTTGATTTTATCTGTAAAATTACTCATCAAAAATAAATTTTGACTTTTGGCAGTTAAAGCAAATGCATCTAAATTGTTCATTGTAGACTAATACAACATTAAATGTCTTTCATTTTAACATGTCCTTGAACAGTGGAAACAGTAATGGTTGCAGGAAATTTTAAAATGGTGGCCGTCTTGAAAAAAATTAAAAGAAAACCTCCCTTCCTCCGTTTTTTCAGAAATCCAGACGAGAAACATGTTTTTATTTTACTTCGCCTTACCTTTTCTCAAGATAAAATATACTGCCCTGGGTCCCCTTCTCTTAAGTCTTTCTATCTTTCCCTTTTCTCTCCTTTAAATTGTTACCACAAACCTTTCAGTCAGGCATGCAAGGTTTCCTCGAATCAGCCAATTTTCCCGTTTTTCACTCCACACTCATGCCATTGAAATATGAAAAACACTGCACAAAGTCTGGTGAAGATTGAAATTTCCTTGTTTTTTGGTCAAAGTCCAAGTTGCATGCCTGACCAGTTTAAACAGCTCGAAGGCTGGCCTGTGCGAACAAGTTACCCCGGTTTGTTCAGACAGACGTTGGCTTCAAGACAACTAATTCGCCAATTTTTTCAAGTAACTGTTTCATTATATGTAATTCTCATTCAGCCTGGTTCCACAATTTCCACAATGCCTGGGACATGATCCGCCGACTCGGAGTTGAAGACAACTTCCGACGGTGGGAGGCCCATGACGTGGTCTACAGGAACTACAAGCCTGAGCGGATGTACAGTCATGGGATATTCCCACTCAATCTTGCTGGTAGGTCAGCTTTTTCTCCAAACTCAAAGAGCTGCCAGCGGCATGTTGACTTTGTCAGCAGCCTTTGTATGTCAGCTCTTGGCAAGCTTTTGCATAATTTGACTCTATTTTTTTACTTTTAAAGGTACTTCTGCCATGAGCAAATATGTCTCGCAGCTTGGCCCAGGAATAATAAGTTTCCTAGAGTTCCCTCTGATTGACCACATTACCAACCTATAACGTCGTTATTATTGACACGGTTCCTTGTTTTTTCAATGGAGATCCAAAGTACATGTACACTTTCAAGTTGTTTGGAAGCTCTACGGGACACTGGGAATGCCTTGGGGATCATGTCCACTGGACTCTTTGCCACTGATTTGTACAATTCAAAGAGTGTTGGTGGAGGGAACATCAAGGGAAGAAAGTGATATTTCCTGGCTCCTGTTGGCATCCCACGAAGCCTTTCAAAATTGAATTTCAGTGGCTTTGTTGGAAAAAATCTAATTGTACAAAAAGGGCCTTGTTTTAATGACTGCAGGCCCACAGGACCAAGCAATTACAACGTCACACTTGCCTTGGTGATGGTTTTGTTCATGTGGGGAATATGGGACATTTGCAGCACCACTGCCCTTGCTAAGATCCCTTTTAGTCGAAGACCACGGACCTGCACAGTCTGCAGCTCTCTCCACTACTTGAATTCTGGGAGTTGGGATGATACAGTGGGCAAGAGGACAGACACCGTTTTGGTGGTTGATTAAAATCTAAAAGTAAATCAAAAAGTTTGTGGGCCTGACCTTTCAATTCTAGCAGAATCTTTCCCAAGGACAACGTGTCAAGGAAACAGTATTCTGACAAGAATGTAAGGAATCAACCAAGCATCGATTATAGCAGGATAAAAGGAGATGGTTGAGTGACTAGAGAGTTCATGAATTCATTAATTTCCAGTAATGCTGACTTTGATGTCTGCCTCTCTATCTTCCAGGCATGATCTTCCGTAGCCCCAACCTCAACCTCCTGGAGATCCTGCTCTGGCTGCGCTGCGCCTGGGATTTCATCAACTACAACCACGACACCAACTTCAAGAGATGGGACTCTATCTCCTTCGGTAGGCTTCCCTGTCCTTTATACCTGCCATGTTGTCCACCCCCTACATCAATCAGTCCCCGCCCTTGATAGAAACATTTACCCAACTTCAACACTCAACATAATCCTGTGTGTTGATGTTGACGTGTTTGGTGAATTTGAACCAGGACATTGCCTGCCATCCCTCAGCGCACCTACACCCGTCCCCCTCCGTCAGGAATGTGCGTTGGCACGATATGCAAACGAGATAGAGCCTGCTATAGGCAGATTTTACGTGAATGGAGTAGAGCACTTGTAACTGATTTTACGTCCACATTGCCTCCATGTGCAATGCCATGTAGATGAGTACATGGACATGTTTGACATCCACCGAGGTTTCTATGACATCGTCCTGGAGCCAGGCATGAAAGCAAGCTACCAGGACAAGTCCACGTTCAGCGCTGCTGAGATGTTCCTCTTCTCTCACATGTTCTACGTTAGCAACCCTCAGGTATTGACTCATCCAGCATCTTGGTATTCAACCATTTAGTTTCAGAAATGGTTGATGTCTTTTACTCTAAACTCCATTTTTGTCACTGCCTCTAAGTGGTTTGTTTCTATTTGTGCTCATTCTGTCAAGATTTGTCAAAAGCAGGCTTGAATTCAGACTGGAGGTCTTTTGTTGGTCTTGTGAGGTAAAATGGTGTTAACCACTTGCTGCCCGGGGATCCGTTTTCGAGCACGTAGGCTTTATACACGGAGCTGGGGAACCCGAAATGGGACAAAGGGGACTGGGCCTTGTAACAAAAGACCGTACTCAGAACTAAAATCCAGGCTGCTGGGCATTACCAACATTTTTTCACTCTCAATAGTGGAGATAATCTAGCCTTGTTTTGAAACATTATACCATGGTTTGGGGCAATAGAGCAAACGGATTACCACCGGGGACAAAAGCGCTCCACCACCGCAGCGATGAGCCTCACAGCACTGCTGCATGCTAATCTGGCCCCATTGAAAAAAGGTCAGCAGTGCACTGTGCCAGGTTCGTGAACAAAAGAAAGTTATATAACACCGCACAATCGGGGCTCTTTTTACGAGGCTGCAAGCCTGGCTGAAATACTTGGGCGTCTGTAGATTTTGTCTGTCAGACCAGGCCAGAGTGGCCACCAGACAGTAATTCGTGTGGGTGTAAACGTCCATCAATTGAAAGGATGAATTTTTGAAGAATTTTGACAACTGAAAATCTTGGAAAACTCCTGATTATGTGCACTGTTTTTTTCAAACCACTCGGCAGCAAGTGGTTAAAAAGCCTCAAATACAACGCTGATTTTTGTATCAAGCCAAGGACCAACGATTAGTTTCCAAATTGAAATGAAGTTTTTTTTTTTCAGGCTGATTACCGAGACATTGCTAAGATGAACCAAGCAACAGCTATCATCAACCCATGGGCTGACAAGCTACGATCTCTGGGTGTCAAGTATGATTTTCTTTTTAAATCTATAATTTAAAAAAAAGTTTCCAATACGGAACAAAGAAACTGATTTGTTTAAATTCTTTTTGTATTAAAGAATGGTAATGATTTCAAGTAGACATGTTCAATTTTTTTCACCAATAGAATTTTTTTCTGCTCAAGACAGTGTATTTTAAAAATCCCAGTGTTTATTTTTACCTCGCTGCAATAGCCTAGTAATAGTCAGAATTACTCCCCAATAATCTTTATATCACATTTTAAATAATCAGTTCTAAATTTGACTCTAAATTTAACCCGGATTCTCAAAGAATTTCACAGATTCTTTTGCTTTTGCTTTTTTTTTCAGGATTGAAATGGAATCAGCTGTTGAAAGTCTCATATTTGATAAAAAGGGCAAAATTGTTACAGACTCCAAACACCCATCGGAACATTATGATCATGTCATCTTAGCAGCAGGCCTCAACAGCACTAAAACAATCCTCAGGAATTCTCTCAAGCTCCTTGATGATTCTAAGGACAAATCCACCCACAACCGTCTGAGCAAGGTCCTTGAAAAACACCTCATGAAGTTGCCCCTGGCACCGCCCTTTAAGGTCCTGACGGTGTGGTTCGATAAACGCCTTGAGAGCAAATACAACCCAGACATCGTTCAGACCCCGAGCTTTCCACCAATTACTATCATCACTCAGTATCACAAGATCAGGGAGGATTATGCCCAGTGGGCCAATCAGAGCGGAGGATCTGTCCTGGCATTCCTAATGTTCGCCTGGGAACACGGGGAGGTGGCGGACGACAAGTTGTGGAACTTCATAGCCCCAACCGTGAGGGAGATCTTTCCGGAAATCTTCCAGAGGGGGTTCAAAGTTCTTGCGTATCATGTCGACGGTTCGGCAACCTACCCATCTTACGAGAAGGGATTGGCAAAATATCGGCCGACTGTAACCTTCCCAAAAGAGTGTGGCTTTCCAAATCTTCTCTTTGCAGGTAATTGGCTCCATGCCAACTACCCTACAGCACTAATAGAGCGGCCCATAGCAACCGGGCGGGAAGCCGCCAATCAGATTCTTTTATCTGACCACGTGAGGCAGTCCTCCCTAATTGTGACAGACTCCCATGGCCCGGGATTTTTTCAATACATGTAGCAGAATTCATGTAAGTGAATTTAATTTTGAACAATTTTTACGCCTGTAGATATTCTAATGAAGTAATGTATACCGTAGAGGTTTTGGACATTTTTGCAAGTGTTTTCCTTTTATGTTGTGGATATTTTCCAGATTTCCTCAATAGCACAGAAACTTTTTGGAGGTGTGAAAGGGAATTACAAACTCCTTTTAGTGTGAAGTTGTTTTGAAACCGATGTGGTTAGTTGATCTTGCCAAAATTTGACTAGTTTAGCCTACAAGTGTTTTTAAGTGTTCACTAACGTCAGTCTCTCGTTCGTATTACACGTATTTCCATAAAACTAAGTATTGTGAAATTTCTCCTGCCTTAAGGGAAAATAAAGCATAGAACATTAAACAGGTGTGAGTGGCCAGTAAAAATCAAAGCTGAAAATAGCTAGCAAAAAGCTGAAATGTTGAAGGTTCCTGTACTTTTTTTGTTCAAACCAGGTGTACAAAAAAACTGAAATTCAGGGTCAACATCTAAACAAATAAGAAGCTTGAATCAGCTAAAAAAAGCGGACTTCTCACACCCTTGATTAAATAAATAAGCATGAACTACATGACGAGATACATTGAGCAGAAATTCTTATCCTGACATGTTGAAACGCTGCACCTTTATACAATCACAGGGAGAAATACAATTCCCTACATGTTCACTAGGCATAACAACCACTAATAACTTATTCTTGTGCCAAATATTAATACAAACATGCAAGTTTTGACGCAAATTTGACCCGACAATAACTTGAGCAATGAGCCATTCTTAGACTGGGTCAAATGTAATCACTTTTGAATGCACACAATGTACCTATTCTAAACCCTTTCTTCGTTTACAAAAAAAAAAACCTACTGTCGGTCTAGAATGTCAGTCATTCAGCGTAAGTGCTTATCCTGCTCACTTTTTATGCAAATTACATATTATATATGCACATAATTACACCCACACAATACTGGAAAGGCCACCTTGTTGATTGTCTCTTCAAACACTACCAACTTCCACTTTTGGAACACAACAGCAAGTGAAAGGACGTCACATTGATATTGAAAGAGAAATTGTCCATGCCCTCTGGTTTGATGTAAGGACTGGAATATAACACAGGTCTAAAATCAAGCGGATTCTTCCAGGAATTTTTCAAAACGGAGTTCCCAAACAAGGAAAACTACACTTTCTTCAACTGCCGTACACCGAGACATTTACAGTTAAAACTTTTGCACATCTTTTACACTACTTCGTCTCCTGAACAACCACCTTTTCTCACGGTATATCTCCCCCTTGACATTGAATCATCCATGCATTACATGGTGGAATATACAGCTATTGCATTACAAAAATATTTCAACTTGAGCATAAAGCTTATGAGTTATTTATACAGGATTTAAATATTCTATGTACTTTGTAATTACATCGCGACAAGTTGGTTTCGGAGTTACAGGGGTGGACTCGCATGCCTACGTTTTTCCTCTCAGCATTAATTTGGTAACGAGTCTTGTAATAACAGCAACGACCATATCCTCAAACTAGGAGGGGCCATCTTTTTTAGAGGGGGAATTCCCCAATAAAAATGGTATATAAAGGTGGAGCATAATTGTTTGATTCAGAAATCTGGTAGGCAATTATTTGATAAAATACTGTGAAAACAGCACTATTTTACAATTTTACACTTGATTCAACACCATCTAGTTGCGGTGGAATGTGTTGGTGGTAAAGCAACAATTTTTATGAGGTGGTTTCTGATACAGAGAATTATGTATTTTCACACTTCATTAAATAGCACTGCATGGCATTTTTGCCTGCCAGTAAACGGCCATTAGTTTTCTGAACTACAACCTTTTTATATCCTGCATGATCACATACACAGAAACCTGTGTGATACTTCTTGGTCAAATCAATGAAAGGTCACTGGCATATTGTCAGTAAGCTAAACAGGAGGGCACATTTTTGCACTATCCACTTCAATATAACACCAACCGGTGCGGGAAAATTAGCATCAGGTGGATTACAGATATATTTAAATACATTAACTTCTGCCCTTTCTCTATTTGTCACTAAATAATCATTACTCAAGTCAGTTTTCTTAATTAAATAACATTCATCATGCAGAAAGAGAAAAGTCGCAGTGTTTGTTACCCTAATTGTATAAAAAGCTACTTCAACACATGAAAGCCCCCTCCTCTTGCTATGAAACTAACAATTCCTGAACAACCTCAAAAAACCAGAAAACAAGGGACAATTCTAACAATCTAAGGTTAAGGCTGTGCCGCTAAAAGTGCACAGTGCCCTCTACAGTCAAGAACTGGGTTAATCCTCGCAAGTCATAAATACATGAAATGCAAACTACATTAACTGCTTTGGTTTACCCGATTTCGCTCCGAACCCTTCTATTTATACAAGACGTATCCGCACTGTGTCATTCACAGTGCGATACGTCACAAGACAGGGAAAAAACTTTCTTAAAATTGGCAAGGACTGATTTTTCACACGAGAATGTGTAAGTAAAAATGCAAAAACAAAAAAAAAAGCTTCATGAGCAAAGTTGGACTTTCAAATCTGGGAACAATTTGTGAGTATTCTTAAGAGCAGTAACAAGCCATTTGCAAGTTAAATTTGAGTAAAAACTGGTACACTGAGTTCTTTAAATTCATGCGAACCTAACGACTTGAATTCTCCATACTTACACCATTGTTGCTATACCTCATGATTCAAGGCAAGCATTTGCTTAGTTACATAAGAAGTGCCTTGCAACAATACACCGTTCTCAATGGATAAGAACGGCATAAAGGAACCAGTCTATTCCAGAGGTTGCTATGCAAAAGCTTGCCCCGGATCACGAGGTATAGCAACAGTGTCTTTAGTCCGAGGAATTTAAATCGTTATGTTTATGTGCAGTCAGATAACTCAGTGCACCAGATTTTATTCAAATTTAACTCGCGATTGGCTCATTGTGAGCACACCACAATAAATGTTTGCAATTGTGACTTTGTAATGAACTATGCCAACTTTTTTCACTTTTCCTCTTCTCTCCATTGCAATATAAATGGGTGATCTATGTAGTACAAAGGCAGATATATTGTTAGCATTTGAGTGTCCGCTAAAGTTTTACCTCTACAATTGATTACTTCAATGTACATGTTTAAGTATTCTGACGAGCTCCCAGTCTTTGTAGCCATGTACCTCCGACCTAAAGGAAGTTTTGAAAAACTCTGATCCAAGTATGGATCACATAACAAGTTGATACTTGGTAAGTTTTTAATATGATGTGAAAATGAGGCAGTCTCCCGATAACAGAGCGTACTGTCTGCAATGTTGAGTCCACTGGTTCTCTTCAGCGTATCATTCACAAAAGAGATCTGCTTGGTAATGATGCAAAATATTCATCTCCTTGCTGCATCCAACATGCAGACTTCAAAAGTCATATTTACACTTGTTTTGGTAAAGTGTCGGGAGCTGCCTCTTCAATCAATCAATAAACCAATCAATCACCAATTAATAAATCAAATGGATTACTAAATTATAGTTGCTGCTCTTTGAGTATTGCTACCAGTAAACGGTGAATACAATCAATCAATAAAACAAATATTACACTTGATTTTTCTTGGAATAAATTTGAATATCTTTGATTTCTGTCTTCAAAATAAATTATGTAATCAGTTATTTGTTATAAAAGATTTTCTGTACTAGTGATATATATATATTAGCCAACAATAAAATTAGATTTCTTGGTTTCTTGATTTCTGCATCTTACATAGATGAATATTTGTATAATTTCTGGAAATATAAATCTACAATCTGACAGATAAATATATATTCATATATTTGACTACTTTGCTAGTATAACATACATGTACATAGGACACGGATAACATTTACTACAAGGATATTTAATCACATGATTTTAGCCACAAAGTCACGGCAGTAAGATATTCTTCAATCTTCATATAGAGAATTTTTATTATTTACAACTTTCCTTAATGAATTAGCATTGCTTATATCAATTAAAAAAGACAAGAGCAAGAATAAAACCTCTGCAAGAATAGATGTGATACCCACAGTTTTCTCACGAAAGAGGAATTGCACATCTCCTAGTTCTTCAACTACTTCACAACAGCTGCTGGATACCCTAAAAAAAAATCTATATTGCAACAGGAAGTCTGTGCTTTATGGAAATGATGCAATAAATGCAGTTGTTAATATTCACCTGGAATATTCACATTGGTCATGCCAATACATTTTGGTGGACTGGTTTGGATGGTCTATTCAACGTCACTGTGGACATCACTGCTTCACATCACAATGCCGGACGCAAGACCAGCCACAAGGCCGGACACAAGACTTTCTGTCGGTCCCACTCCAGAACCATAATGAAAAAGGAATATAATGTTTTTATGGAAGTTCATAGCTTGTGACTTGAATTCTGACTGGATGTCTTGTGATGGTCTTGTGTTGATCTTGTGATGGTCTTGTGTTGATCTTGTGATGGTCTTGTGTTGATCTTGCGATGGTCTTGTGTTAATCTTGTGATGGTCTTGTGATAATCTTGTGGTGGTCATGTGATGGTCTTGTGATGGTCTTGTGATGGTCTTGTGGTGGTCTTGTGATGGTCTTGTGGTGGTCATGTGATGGTCTTGTGGTGGTCTTGTGATGGTCTTGTGGTGGTCATGTGATGGTCTTGTGGTGGTCTTGTGATGGTCTTATAAGGGTTTCAGCTGATCCTGGGTGTGATTTGGTTATTGGCTAGAATTATTTCATGTATGTTTGGATATTAGAAAATTAACAGCAAAATGTGAGAGTTGCAAGTCTTTTGTGTGAGCTGTTAAAACTTGTTGTAACCGTTCTACAACATTTTGTCAAATCAAACCAGCCACTAGGAAACTGCTCGTCAGAAAGTGTACCACATCGGCACATTTTTAAGCAACAAGCTTTGTCCTTTTGTAACTGATTCATGAAGCTGCAGGCTCTTTGAATGTACAATTTAAACTTAAAATTGTGTCCATGAAAGCTGTTCAGATTGGTATTTAAACCTTGCCTCCATTACAAATAAAGATCTTGAATTTGAAACTTCACAAACCAAGAACCGTTACGCTAGAACCTCCACACATGCCTACTACTGGCCACTCTGTCTTCAGTCATCCCCGGCGAAGATTTCATCCGACAGTGTATGCCAGCGCTCAAACCTCCTGTCTGTGTGCTTGAGTGTCTCAAACCAATGCCGCAGACGTTCCCCTTTGGCGTTGATGCCTAGCTGAATACCCCCTGGAATGGGAAGGGCGAAAAGCAATCAGCGAGAGGATCGCAATACATGGCTCCTAAATGCAAGACGAAAACTACAAAGTGTGTCATTCTGAAATGTTCTACGCCATTCAGGCTCCCAAGAATAACTGAGACGTACAGTACACAAAATACCTGCCCACGATGAACAGACTGAGAGCACTCAGCGAAAGAATGGCCCTTAAACTGGCCATTCAATTTGGGTGATTCACAAAACGGTGCAACCCATAGAGGTTGCCGCTGAGAAGCCATTTTTCAAGTTTACAGTCAACAAAAGCACGGCCACTGTGCCACCATTTGCACTTGAGTGTATGTCAGTAGACAACTTGGGGAAATTATTGATAGATTGGGCCATTCCTTGCAAGAGAAAGAAAAAAGGATTTATTAGAAATGTTACCTTATTATATATGTTAAAATCTTTTTCCCTGAAAACAAACATCAGGAATAAGTTTCCAGCATGCAGCCAGCCAATTGAATTTGTCGACCATTACCCACAATGCAATATAAAAATTGCCTTTCTGTGGCAACCTCTTGGTGGCGCACTGTATTCCAAACAGCCTGTATTGTGCCTTATACCAACAATGCAAATGCAGCATCAGCACTTCAGTGCACAAAACGTTTGACAGAGGAACGGACCGAAGACTGCCTCAATTTCAGAATCTGAATCTGAGACAGGTCAGGTCATTTTGACAGTTTCTTATTAAACTTGGCACACTGTGACACACAGTGAACTTCCGACATGAGATCAACTCTGTTAAATATCCAAACACATGTGCTGTATTGTGCATCTATGCTAATTTATGAGATCCACCAATCAGAATACAGGAAAAAAACTGCTACTAAGCAAACAACCAATAACATCTTGGAAACGAGCCAGTTTGGTATTTCAAAAACCAAGGTCATTTGAGAACAAAGGCAATGAGCATTAATATGTTCAGCATGTGTGAGTTGGCAGATGACCAAGCTGATTAGGTCAAAGTGCACAGGTACCGCTGGTCCTGAATGACCTCACACAGCCTTCATTTTGGGCATGCGCAGTTGGAATCCGCTCCAAGTGGAACAAAAAAGGGCATATTTTTTAGTACTCACCGCATAGGCTCACATTTATAGTGGGATCAATGGTGCGTTTGGAGTGGAGCACGCTGAGTATGTGTAACAAACTTAATCCTTAATATATGGTCTTTGCGTACACGCAGGACGCATGCAAGACCCCACTTGGAAAACTTACAACCATCTGTCGTTCTTTTGCCACTTGCGGGTGCACTTCTCAACTCAAGGCGGATACTGAACTGACTTACTCCACACCCACTGCTTATCTTCATTCATGAGGACAGGTCAACAGTCTAGAAAAGCTTAAAACGGGCAAACATAGCTTCTTACCGATGTAGTCATTATGCTTGCCGATATCTTTGTCCCAAACAGTTATTTCAAGTGTCTTCTTTGCCAAGTCATTGTGGGCGACATCATAAAAGAACTCCTGAAAAATAGGAGAATAAGTGACAGCATTCTGAATCCTGGCCCCGTAGGATCATCCATAATTACCCAGAAAAACTTTAGAAAAAACCCCCAATTTTCAGAGAAATATACGTAAGTGAAGTGCTCTTTTAACCAAGCATCTTGCCCTTGTCTCACACTTGTCAGCCGTATGCTATGTTTTGTTTGTCCCTGGTCTGTATGTTTTTTTTCTGACTGCCTCCTCGTTGTCTGTCTGTCCATAGGTAAGGGTACAAAAGCATTTGCTTAACCTAACACCTAAATGTTGTCATTTTCTTCTGAATGTTATATAACAATGATAATATTAACGATATTTATATTTATCTGTGACAAATGTACATTTGTGTATCTTAATTTGTGTTCACAATGACAACATTGAATATATGTCCTCCTCTTAGTATAGTGGAATGAAGCACTGCTGTCTTAATGTTTATTTTTTTCCAAATTAAGTAACTTTTAAGGCCTCCACAATGAGATTGAGTAAGTAAGTGGCCTCCATCTTCTTGTTTGTTCTTTGTATCGACAGTTATCTTGTCATTGTATTGTAAAGCCTGTACATACCTCGTTGAACTCAGGGTTCAACGTTCTCTTCTTGGTTGCTGTCTTGTGTTTAGTTTTCTTCCCACTGTCTGGCTTAAGGTATCTGTCAGGGTGAGTGAGCAAATCAATTAGTCGATTCAAATTGTTTCAAATTATTTGAGTTAAAATTACGGGAAAGCAGTGATGCAGCACAGCCTTTTCAAGTCTTTTCCAAACTTTACTGAACTACAAGGTAGTATACAGTCCAAATCAAGCCCAAAGTACAAAGGCTGTGTTAGAAAAAAAAAACCACTTTCAGAGGAGGAGAGTGTTTGAACACAAGAACGAAGGAAATGTTCCGAGTAAGACAAAGGATTCAGCCCCCTTCCCAAGTAATCACAACAATATCTCATAAAGTTCAAACTTACAACTTACATTTCTAACAGCAATCTGCCAATGCTAGTTAGTTTGGATTTAAACATGTTGTATTTCAGTGCACATGTAAGACTTTTAATAAGGAGAAAGACCGGACTACGTCACTCACAATAAGCACTCATACTCATCAGAATGTACGTAGAATAACCTTAGGCCCCAATATTTTTACTGTTACTCACACTCATACTCAACCCAGCAACCAGGGGCCAATTTCATAGAGATGCTTAAGCACAAAAGTTGCTTAAGCGCAAAAAAACCTTACTTGCTAAATCAGCTAACCAGCCAAAATTCCATGTGATGTACATGTGTATTGTTTTGGAATCGTATTTAGCTGCTTTTTGGTTTGCACGATAATCAGATGGAGTTTGAGCTGGTCACCTTTGTTTATTAAGCAAATGTTTTTCCCACTTAAGCCAATTTTCTGCTTAAGCAGCTCTATGAAATTGGCCCGTTAAAAGTCATTAATAGGGCAATACCGAGCTTGCTTGCAGGTCATTCAAACGCATTCAGTGCCTCCTTGAGTAACAGGAAATCGAGATTAACAAAACTGTGAGCCCACTTCAAGTTGAGAACTTGTATGACATTCCCCTGGTTGTGGCACCACTGCAGAAATACCATCTCAACGGAACCATCTCTCCGCCACTCAACTACAAAGCATTCAAGGTCTTTTTGTCCTCCATTAGTCACACTGCTACAGCCCCCCTAACAGTTTGAGAAATGCACCCACAGCCAGGGGGGCTGCTACTCACACTTTGACATAGGGGTCGGAATACCCGTTGGCGTCCATCGCGGCAAGGCCGGCGCAGCGCAGGATACCAACCAACAGCTGCTGCCTCTCCTTCAGATATTTGAGGGATACCAGGATCTTTCCCCGCTCCCCCATCAGTTCATCGTCCTTCTCCAGCTGGGGAAGAGAAACAAAAGCCAGATGAAGAATGACGCTTCTTGAACCTTATCTTCCTATTAAATTGTTAGAAAGTCTCGTAAACCAGCAAACGCCAGCCCTAAACAGTAAATCAACAGCATCTTTTTCTGTTTTCTGCTAGAGGCAGGCAAAGCTGGCTAAAGCATCAAATACTCCCCTCTCACTATAGGTCCTTGATTCTATTCCAAGCCATAAAAGCGTAGAGTTGTGAACGGGTTCTCTTTTGCACCACAAGGGTTATTTATGGTTTCCTTCCTCCACAACTATCAACACTTTAGGTTGTGCTCTGAAGGACAGACGTACGATCAGTTGGTGGCTGCCGGAGGCACCTTCACATGATTTCCACAATAGAGTTTCCAGTTTAGAGTCTTAATTGTACACCACATTTGAACATAACTGTACAACCTACATTAGCATTTCAACAAATCAATACAATGACTTAAAGTTGGGACATCAGTAAAGATTGGCTAGGCTACTGGCCCAAATTAAACCAGGGCCTAATTTAGCAGTGCTACTTGGCAGAAAATAATGCTGAGAAAATTTGTATACGATGCAGAAATCCACTGAGAACCAGTCACAAAGGGCTACTTTACCTATTTGTGTTAAGCACTTATCTTTTGGTGTTTAGCTGTTTTTTGAGCTAAGAAGCTCTGTGAAATTGGCACCAGAATTTGCACTTCAGCAGATTTATTTTAGAATTCAATAGATTTTGGATGGAGAATTGAACATGTTGATGATTAGCTTACCGGCATCTGTTTCTCTAAGTAGACGCTCATATTCTTGGTTGTGTGGGGCGTCAGCTTGCGAAGTGGAAGGCGGTATTCACCAATGAAGTCATTATGACCAAACTTATCCTCATCTAGCACAGATAGCCTGAAACCAGGAGGGGAAAACTGATTTAGACGGACAAGAAGGTTTGAGGTTGTCCAGAACTTCTCCACAAGTTTTCAATGCTTGCCAGGGATGAAATTCTCAGAAAAAGAAAAAAGCTGGAATTTGCGAGCGCACAGCCCTTTACGGCATGTGGACCCCAGGAAAATTTTCAATTTTAGATGCTCTGTGGTGCAATCTAATGCTAAGCCATTCTGGGACATATTTTAAAATAGAAACATTTGTGAAAGTCCATACTCTGGAAAACCTAGCCAAACCTTTTCATTATATGTTAACTTGATATGTGTTATACATGTAAAGACCCACTACATAGTTTTGTTCATCACTTATGGTTTGTCATGTGCTTTAAAATACATGTACATGTTGATTATGTACATGTACCTGACAGATGCTAATTTCTTTTCCGTGTATAGAGTTTGCTGTTGTATTTCAATGATTCTGCATGTACTGTTATGGCATTTTTGCCCTAGGAAGCGTAATTAATTTCTACATCGCACCTCCGCAGTACCAGGTTTTGCCAATTTTCTGACTAAATTCGGACAAGAACACTCCTCCTATGTTGGCCTCATGCCACTACCATCGCCAGGAATTTTAATCCCTTTGTCGATGTGCTTCACCTCTCCTTTATTCTTGATGAATGATGTCTTTACGGGCAGACATGATGATGGAAATGTAACTATAAGAAACGTCCGTTCAACAACACACACGACGGTACGGTTTTCTGTAATAACACACAAGGTATTCAGGGTACCAGGTGCGGTGGCTTTGACTGGTGGTCTATACACTCGTGCATGTTGTGAGTAGCATGAAAAAATGCACAGTCATTTGCTTGCATGAGGATACGTGGATACGTCTTGAAAATAAGCCTCTCAGAGAGATTGTGACACTGACAGTTACCTGGAAACAAACACATTTCCTACAGAGATGGTTATTGGTCGACACTGGTTTTTGTCTGCAAAAAGAGCCAACGGAATGCCATGCTTTATCTTATCTCCCAATTCTAGCCTGGTACCGGTTCGGATCTGTATGTATGTTGACATCGTGTGCCCAAACTACACATGAACGTA